GGTCTCTCATGCATCATGAGAAGCCAGGAGATTTCGCTCGGTCCCACAGAGTTCCTAGCTCAAAACCTCACCTCAAGAGCCCCAGAACTCAACAAGTATCCAGCTTCCCCCTCCTCCTCTTCCTGTCTAGCTCACAAGAGCCACCAGGTGTCCAGTGGTTTCCCCTCCTCTGGGAGGACCCAGCACCCAGGCCAGGCCTTTTCATTTGCATTTCTAGCTTATCCTGGTGGACATGGACCAGTCCCTGTACGCTACTTCCTTCTCTCAGAATTGGCTCCCATGAGAAAATTAACCAATTGTATCAACTACTTGGGATAAGATTATCCTTTTCAGAATTTGAGTTTCTCTGGTCTGCATTGCTTTGATGGCTCTCCAATGCCCTAGTATGCTTGTAGCCTGTATTTTTCTGGTGTTCCTGAAGTCAACTAGTGACTTCCTACATCTCAGTGAAGCAGGCCTTCCGTGGTATCTTTCTCTCTATTACCAGTTCTTTGTTCTTTTGTTTGTTTGGTGGTGGTACTAGGAATTGAACCCAAGGTCTTTGCACTGAACTACGTCCCCCCAGCCTTTTTATATTTTTTATTTTGAGATGGGGTCTCGCTAAGTTGCTAAATTGCCCAGGCTGGGCTCAAACTTGTCATCCTCCTGCCTCAGCCTCCCAGAGTGCTGGGACTAGAGCTGCACACCACTATGGCTGGCTTCTGTATGAACAGTTCTTAATTCCCTATACTTTAAAAATATTCTTTGTTGTCTTCTAGGGTCTTTATTGCTTTGTCTTTCATATTTAGATATTTATGTGAGGCAAGGTAAGTGTCACCTTTCTGTTTTTCTGAAAAGTTGCCCTTTCTTCTGCGTCATGGGCTGTTGCAGTCCTGTGTCCAATGTTCCTTCCACAAGTTCCCTTTCCAGGTTCTTTATTTGGTCTTTGGTCTGTCTTTGTACCAATACCACAAAGAGTTACATGTATATTAGGCCTCTTGTTCTTAAAAATTTCCTGACTATTCTACTTCTGATTTTCATTTAATTCTGGAATCAATTTGTCAAGTTTTTGTTTTTTTTTTTAAAAAAAAGCCAATTGAACCCTGGTGGGCAGTGGCACATACCTGCAATCCCAACTACTCAGGAGGCTGAGGCAGGAGGATCATAAATTCAAGGCTAGCCTGGGCAACTTGGAGACTCTGTCTCAAAATAAAATTTCAAAAGGCTGGGGATATAGTTCCGTGGTAGGCTGCTTACATAGTATTCACAAGACACTAGATTCAATCCCCAGTACTAGAAGGAGGGGGGGACCTATTGAGATTTTTATTGGATCTAAAGATACATTTAGGGAAAAATTACATTTGTTAATATGGAATTTTTCAAATTTTCAAGTGTGGTAATCCTTTTATTTAAGCCTCCTTTAATTTCTCTACAAAATGCTTAACCATTTACTGTGTAGAGTCTTACACAGAGCTTGTTAGATTTATTTCTAGACATTTGATTTTTATGCTATTATAAATGTCAGTTTGAAGTATTTTCTTTTCCAAGTGTTTATTACTGATGTAAAGAAATCCGATTGACTTTTAAAAAGCAATTGCACAGTCAGTATCCTTACTAAGCATTTTTTTTAACTTAATGATTTTTTTGAAGCTTCATCTAAATTTTCTACACATGCAATCATAGCATGTGATCACATGAGTGGTAACAGTTTTAGTTTTTCCTTCCTAATCTGCATACACTTTGTTTTTCTTGATTCACTGCATTTCGTAAGACCTCATTTACAATGTAAAAATAGAAGTTGCCACATCAGGCTTTTCTGTTATGATCTTCATCTCAATGATAAGCCCTTCAAGGCTATGCTACTTTGTGTGATATTTGTTCTAAGTGTTTGTAGTCGTCCTGTATTATTTAAGGAACTTCTTTATTATTCATAATACACTTACACTGGCATTTCTGCTTTGATGCCACAAATCTGAAAGATTTTGTATTCTGCAAAAGTGTGGAGTAAAAATATCAGAGCTAATGGGAAAATAAATTTTGGGAGCAAAGTCCTGCAAAACCTGTGGAATTTCTGCAACTGGAGAGAATGACAAGAGCCAAATGCAATCCCTCTCTTTCTCCTGGCCCCACACACTGCCTCTTTCCACGCTCTGCTCTGGCTCCAGATTCTTGCTGCAGAAATCTGGTCCTTAAAGATGATCACCTTGAATGTCCCAGATTCAAACACTGCTCCAGGGGCATGTCTAACCTGTGGCTTGCCAGTTGCTTGCCTTCTTTTTGTCTTTTGGTTTTTGTTTTTTGAGGCAGTGTGTCTCTTTGTAGTTCAGGCTGGCCCTGAACTCCTGGTGATCCTCCTGTCTCAGCCTTCCGAGTGCTGGGATCACAGGCGTGCACCACCGTGCCCAGCTGCTTGCCATCTTTTTTATTTTTTAATGTTCTATTTTTTAAAAGTATATATTTTTTTCTTTTTTGGTACTGGGGATCAAACTAGGGACCTTGCGTGGCTGGTGGCAGAACCACTGAGCTAAATCGACGGT